TCTGTTTAATTTTTTGAGGAAATACCAAACTGTTTTCCACAGCTCACTATTTTACATTTCTACCAGCCATATCTAAGGGTTCCAATTTCTCCACATCCTCATCAACACCTGTGATTGTCTGTCTTTTTATTTTAGCCATCCTAATTGGTGTGAAGTGGTATCTCACTCACTGTGGTTTTGATCTGCACTTCTCTAATGGCTAATGATGCTGGGTATCTTTTCATTTCCTTACTGGTCATTTGTAAACCTTTTTTGGAGAAATGTTCCTTTGTGACACCATATCAACTCTTAATTGGCTAGTAGTAATAAACTCTGCTCAACTATGAGTTTTTCTCCCACCCTACCCTCACAAGTGAGAATATTTTAAAACTCACCTAAATATATATATGTTCATTTAAACATGCAAACATCATAGGGAACATAAAACAGAAAATTAGCCTCATAATTCCACCCCAAAGCACCATTAACCATTCTTTGTTCTCTAGCTTCTATTTTTATGACTAGAAAACTATTACATGCTTACTAAACAAAATACAACAAAAAATATCTATAACAACACTGTGTGTGCATGTATGTACAAATATCTACTGAGCACTTACTATGTGCCAAATACCGTTCCAAACACTTTGAAGACTCTGTTGTCTCATTCAATGCTAATAAATATATTAAAAATTATGTTAGGTCCACTGCACATTTAATTTTATATCCTTAACCTACTGTAAATATTTTTCTTTAAATAATCTTCTTAAATGTAATTTTTGGTCACAACAAATATCCCAGTTTGTGATGGACTGTAATGCAACTAATCCCTCACTATTGGAAGGTGAGATTCTTTCTAGTTTTTCACTATTATAGATGCTACTTTTATACATCAAACTTTCAGATTTAATATAATGGCCAGTGTTTACCGAATACTTAGTAAGAGCACAGTGATAGCTACTTTATGTGGACCCTCCCATTCAATTTGTATCACTTGATGAGACAGGAATTATCATCATCCCCACTTTACAGATGAGGAAAAGGTCAGAGAGGCTAAGGAACTTCTTCAAGGCTACACAGCAAATTAGTGATAGAGCCAGGATTCAAATTAGGTCTGTATGACCACTAAATGGAGATGCACCATTATTTCTTTAGGATAAATTCCTGGAAGGAGAACTGTTCGATTAAAAATAACACCACCACCCCCTTTTTTAAAAGTCTGATAAATGCTGCCATGTTGCTGCCCTTCAGTAAGACTGTAACAGTTTCTACAATGCTCATTTTTATACCCTGATACCAGATAACAGCACTTTAAAAAATCCTTTTCAATTTTCTAAGTAAAAAAATGCCAGCTCATTTTTTATGTACTTTGAAGTTGCTCTACACTACTGGTATTTTTATTATTATTAGCACTCTACAGTCGTGTTTTGCATATATTAACAAATTCTATCATCTATTGAACACCTGATTACCCATATACAACCTCCTAAGAGCAATGAGCTAGTCTCTGTGCTTCATCTCAGTGTCCCCTATGTGTACAATAACACCTGGAGCATTGTAAAAAGCAGCAGGACCTGTGTGGCTTACCTAAATTATCTCCAAGCCTCACAGTGGATAGCTGATTTTCATAGTTAGATTTTAAATCTCATTTTACATACAGGAACCTGGGATTCAGAGATGCCAACCAATTTGCATAAGGTTACACTACTAGTGAGGACAGAGCTGAAATTCAGACCCATATCTGTTTGACTGTAAAACTTATTTTATTTCTACGACACTCCACTGATGCAAAGAAAGAAAAGGCTTTTAGGATCATGCAAAACATTTTATGCAGACATAAATATCATCTTGACTTGTTTTCAATGAAGGGCAAAGGGAACCGTCTTGGTTGATTGCCTACCAGGTGTCAAACCCAGCACGGGGTCTGTTACCTTCCTCATTTGGTGTCGGTTTATAAACCGCCTTTGGATATCTGCAAAGCTCAGTTGCCCACGTAGGTTTAAAATCCTTAATCTTATTCTCATGGGCATTGGGAAGAAGTTGTCAATTTATGATGCAAGGTTATTTTAATACATCACTTATAAGGAGTAAATGGTTTTTAAGCAACTGGTTTGCTTATCGGCTTCAAAAGAAGTAGGTATTTCTAGGAAAATCAGTCTATCTCTATCTATCTTCTTTCTTCTTTCTTTTCACACACACATCTATGTGTGCAACTGCTGTTTTCTGCTCTTGCACACACAGGTGCATGTGTGTAACTGCTGTTTTGCTCTGCTCCCCCATCTGCCACCTGGGAGCGCTGCCGCGCTTCCCAAGCGGCGCACTATCCAGTGCGCCACCGGGCCGGCCCCCTACACTACTGGTATTTTTGTGATTACTTCCTCTAATACACAAAGCACAGTAGAACATGTTCTACTAGCTGGGCCCAGTGGCTTATAACAATAAAAAGGAGATTTTGCAAATTTAGCACTCTTCACTGAAAACTATAGTGTGAGAGATCCTTCAGTGATGGTAGTGACAGGAAGAAAAGTGAGTTCCCCCTTTGGCAGGTCAAGGAAGGCTGACAACAGGTGAGCCCAGCAGTGCACCCAGGCAGCTGAGCCAACACACCATTAATGAGTTGTCATCTTTCACATAAGATGATCTCAAATAACCAGGCTTGGCCTTTCATGCCTGATTTCATGGGAATGTCACTTGAAAATCCACATCACGGCAGGAAAGTTGACAAAGACCTCTCAGCTTACCTGAACTCTGCCATCCTTTTTATGGCCAACCCTCCCCATCTCCCACACACTATCAAGTTGTGGACTTGAGATGACTGGCTCTAAAGCACTCCACATACCTGATAACACACCAGATAACTTGTAGTCACTTCTCCAGACTCAGACTATGTTATCGCAGCTCCCTCTGGTAACCATTTTCAATGAGTCCAGTGTGGATAAAGAACCATTTCTTTGCACTCCCACTGTGGCCTGAGCTTCCTTCACTTCCTGCAAGTGTCACTCTGCTCTGTAACTGCTGGTCTGCTTCCTCAACCAAATTTTCAATTTGTTTAGAGCAAGCTCTTTGTCTTTACTGCCACACCCAGTATACAGGACTCTGGCTAGCAATGATAGGGTTGCAGTACTTTTTCATAAATAAATTACACTGAGTTGACCAAGCAAACTGGTAGATAATTTCACCTAACTTCTCTACCTATGGGGGAGCAGAGAAAGGAACTAAAATTTAGTGAGCCTATATTAGGTGCCCAGTACTTCATATTAACTCAAATAACTCTCACAATAATCCGCTGAGGTAGGCAGTAGAGTCCCTATTTTATAAATGAAAATATTAAAGTCTTACTTTCCACACAAGCTAGTAGGGCTGGAATCTGAACCCAGGTCGATGTGATTCTAAACCATTGTTCTTTCTACTTGATTAGGCACATAAACTGGAAAGGAAAAGGCTACTCTTCCAGAATTGTGGGCTTAAAATCCCCTGGAAGTAAAAACTCTCCTATTTGTCCTAATGAGATAGGGTGACCCCCACTTTTATAACATACGCAATTCGCTTCTGTGAAACTGCTTACTGTGTGACAAGACAGATTGATTAAGTTTAAATAGTGTTTGAATTGCTTAAAAATGTTATTGTTTAAAAATCCCCTCAGCTCTTCAGCCCCCTTGATAGAAGTTAAAAGCTAAATATTAGCCTGCACTTAGAGAAGTTTGAATTTTGTTTGCTGTTCCCCACCCAAGCTGCCCCTGAGTGATTAACTGGCTTGTTTCAGCTTCTGTTATCAGCTTGCACTAGGCCTCACCAAACCCCCTCCTCACGCCAGGAGGGTATGTGTGTCTGTGTGTGACAATATGACAACTATAAGTGTGTGACTACTTGATAATTTTAACTGTGTGACTAATGTAAAAATGTGCCTTTTAAAAAACCCTCTAAACTTTAAGTCAGGACTGTTCTCTTCCGAGACTTTCTTGGAGGGACAGTCGCTGGCTGGCCAATAAAGACCCCCTTTTAAATTCTCAACTGGGTATCCTGGTTCCTTTTCTATGTGGCAGCCTCACAACACTAGAGGAATCTCAAGCAAGGAAACAAAGAGGGGAGAGGGAATCTGGGAAGGGAGATGTAAGAAGAAGGAAGTAAGCTAAAATTATAAAACGCTTCCCCCATTAATCTGAAAGCACCACCTGGGGCACTTTAAACTTCAACTTCACTTCTTTTCATTGTCTCCAAGCCTGAGAAGATTTTTAGAAGACACCTCTATACTCTTATGGCACTGTGATACCAAAAGAAGAGAAGAAAAAATTGAGACACTGTAGTATATAAGAAGGAGCACATGGGATACCTGGCTCACACACTGATGAATAATAAGTGGTCAAGCTGTGGATAAATCTAAGCCATTAAAATTCTGTGGAAGCCTCCATCTCATTTCTAAACTAAACCAATTAGGCTGAGAGAGTTTCCAACTTGGCTCTGCATCCAAATAAACCCCCGAGGCTGTGGAAAATCCTAATCTCTGGATCTCATCCTCATTCTGATTTAGTAGGCCTAGAGTGAGACTTGGGAATCCCACAGTAACTTATACACTCAGCCAAGTTTGGAAACATCTGGGTGAGATCTTCTGTCCCTGCCCCACTTCCAGGAGAGGAAACTGAAAAGACAGCTAGCTGATTCAGGACACTAAGTCACATAACCAGACTACCAAGAAACAATAATTCTAATACTATAAGGCTTAATAATCCTTTTCTGTTTCAGGGCAAAATGAATTATAATCAGTCTTCCTTGACTACTTAAACCTGCCTTTGTTCTATGAATGCACCAGCCTTAAGAGTGCCAAAAACTGCACTGGTGGGGAATGTAAACTTTTTTTTAATTGCTAAGGTTTCCCTAGAGGTATCAGCTGTCATGATCCTCTTGGGCTGCAGGATCATTAGTTCCTCTACTTTACTTCTTTAAAGCTCTTCTGAGGATGAACTACTAGCAGATTTTAAGGGCAGACAGGCAGTCTGCCAAGGGAGACTGAATAATACCCCTACCTTGATATCTAGCTTGGCCATGTGTTGTAAAACCCAGATGCGATGGGACCAGGCATTATAGTTGCTTGGGTATCTCCCTGCTGCTTCACCACAGACCTCCATCTCTTCTTGTATTAGTTGCTGTGTCCTTTCTACAGGAATTGTACCCAAGTTTCCTTTCATCACAAAGGAAGGCAAGGAGATTTCCTGAATTAGCTGTTGTAGCACCCATCGCCTGTTAAGGTAGCATGTGGGAAAGAGAATGAAGAAAGAACATGAACTAGAGAGGAAAATAACCAGTTTTCTTTGTTTTTTAATTTAATTTCTGTTCACAGACAATGCAAAATAATACCTGTCTACAAGCCCAGTTTTTTGCAAAGTGGGGAGGGGTTGTCATTTTGTTGTTTTTGAAGATAATTAAATTCAGCAGCATGGATGAAGGGGGGAAAAAGGACAAATGAGAAAGAAAAATCTTTCTAAAACTTTAAGATCTGTCAAAAAGAGAATGTCATCAATTCCAAACTGACAACTCCAAAAAACTCCATTTGGCCAGCAAATGTAAAAGCAACTGGTCTTTGTGCTTGTGTGTGTGTGTGTGTGGTGATGAGGGGGTATTAATCAATGGCTGGTAAATATTAGAAGAGAAGTCATAGTTTTGTTTGTAAACAAGAAGCTGCATTTTGACAGCTTTCATTAAGCAGAATTTCTATATTACAACATAAAATCTGGAAAGAAATACATGTAATTAGTTAAACTATCAAGGAGGTTTTAAAATGTGTTTTTCCAGATTTTTCCCTTTGTCTATTTAAGATTTGCATTAGCATATGTTTAAATCAAAAGCACTAACAAAATGTTTCTAACTACTTAATGTCTTTAGTTTCTACATATATTTCCTCATAGAAAGTCTTTTAGACTAAAATTTTTCAACCAAATAGGAAATTGAGTAAGAACACTCATTTTGTCATTTTTAAATAATAGAAGATTTTATTTAACAAAATATTGCTTTATAAAAAGAATTAAACAAGCCAATAAATGGACACATATTTAATACTACCTTCTCCTGTCACCACTTATTTCTAAAATCCATACACACAATCATATACCTCTCTGACACCTACTATTCAAATTTCTAGTAAGGAAGAAAATACAAGTATACAAGTGACTATGTGGTTTGGCAGGAGCTGATATGCAATGCTGGGCAAAGACAAGATTACAGCTAAGACACCTTGAAACTGACATAAGATACTAAAAATGCCCAGGATTTAAGACAAATTTGAGTGGCTTAATAAACCACAAACAGACTTCTTCAAAGTAACTTCTCCACTGTCCCTGACCAGCAAGCCCACACGATCCCATTTTGGTCAAATAAGAGTAGTTACATGGGGTCCAAGAGGAATATGCTTCTAGACAGCCAGGGTTTTAAGAGTCCTATGTGCATCCTGATTATCTGTCTCAGGCTTTTTACCTGAAAGTGTTCTTTGCATTTATGGTCTTAGCAACTTTAGCTCAGCCTAGACACCATTCACTTCAGCTGTCCTTAGCTTCCTCTGTAAGTTAACAACCATCACCACCACCATCTTTACCAGGAAAACAACGAAATGCATTTAAAAATCCCAGTTGTTCACTATAGTCGAGTATCTAAAGGCCATCTCCACAACTGCTTCAGATAGCTAATAACAACAGATAATATTTACTGAGTATTTAATATGTACCAGCCACTGTGGTAGTTGTTTACATGTATTATCTCAAATAAACTCAACCATTAACTCTATGAGATTGGTGTAATTTTTATTCCCACTTCACAAATGAGAAAACTGAGGCTTGAAGAGATTAAACAATTTCCTATGAATGCTCAGATACTGGGTGATAACCCCTAGATTTAAACGTAGGTAACTTGACTTTAGAATTCATGCTCTGAACCAAAATGTGACCCTGCCTCACATGCTATGTCTCTTTTTCCAGCCATTCTGGATCCTAAGTAAGAGTACCATGTTGTAAATTAAACACACCTGTGAATCCATGTTTCTGGACTCTTCGGAAACTTAGTTAAGGCCAGTTTTCCCAGATGTAAGTCCTTAATTGGATTTAAAGTGCCAGCAAGGATCAGCTCTTTCCTGTAAAAAAAAAATTTTTTTTAAATTACTTTATCCTTCTGTACAAACAGTCTGCATGGTTTTTAATATAACCTTATTGTGAAGTGAATTTCCAAGAATAATAAAAAAAGCCAAAACCCCAAACAGTGGTATATATAATTCTTATAAACGTCTTATACACACATCAAGAATGTATTTTCATAATGTCAAAATAAGCAGAAAAAGAAGTTCGTAAATTAACAATGGAACATTAATTATTTGGGAGAGGGCAAAGGGGATTTCTGGCATCATTTCTAAAAGTTACATGACCTGATAGAAGTATCTGCAGGGTGGATCCAATCTCAATCAAGAATTGCTCTAGCTTCCTAAACAGAATTTGATATAATCTAGTTCATTACAAAAAAAAAATGAAGAAATGCGACAAACACATACGATAGAGATATAAGGAAAAAAATCATTAATTGACTCACTACCCTAACAAAATTACTATATTTATTTTTGAATTGTCCTTCCTGCCTTTCCCAATATGCATTTATATCTTAATACATAATTCTATATCCTGTTCTCATTATATCTTAAGAATTTACCTATCGTTCTTTGTAATGAACATTTGTAATCTTTGTAATGAACATTTTAAATGATCAAATAGTTTTCAGTCAATAGCTATGCTGTAATCTAATGACATTTTCCCCTGTTGTTAGACATCTCAGGTTGCTTCCAGCTTTTTGCTATTCTAAAAGAATTCTGGAGATCCTGTCATTCACAGCAACATGGATGAGCCCGGAAGTCATTATATTAAGTGAAATTAGTCAGTCACAGAAAGATAAATACTGCACATTCTCCTTCACATGTGGGAGCTAAAAAAAGTTGAGCTTTCTATAGAAGTAGTAGAACGGTGGTTACTAAATGCTGGGCAGTCTAGAGAGGGAGGGCATGAATAAAGAGAGACTGGTTAATGGATACAAAATCAAGTCTAGATAGAAGAATAATTTCTAGTGGTCTATAGTAGTACTAGATGTCTATAATTTATTGTATGTTTCCAAATGGCTAGAAGACAGGAGTTCAACTGTTCTCAATAAAAGGAAATGATAAATGTTTGTGATGATGGATATGCTAATTACCTGATTTGAATTTCACACACTACATACATGTATCAAAATAACACACTGTACCTCATAAATATGTACAATAAAAATTTTTTAAAAATCCAAGCAATCACCTAAAAACCTGTTTAACAGCTGGTGTTACTTCCTCTCAGTTTAAGGGGAATAAAGAATTCTTTGACCCCAAAGAAAAAAAAAAAATTCAAGAATATCTGCTGCATAATGGATCACTCATTAAAGAAAACATTGTGACCAATTAAAAAATCTGTATTTTTAAAAGTATATTCTTTGCACTTTGAATAAGCAGACATGTGTTTCTAAGAAAAATTTTACACTATGGTTTTTTCATGAGTACTTAAGTATTCTATTTTCTTCTAAAACTGAACTATCCACTCACTGCAATTACTTTGATGCCAATTTTTGTTTCTACGATTATTTTATTCTTCTGATATTTTTTCTGAAAAAGGTATTTAAATCTATATATTTAACAACAACAAAAACAATAAAAGAATTCTGGGGGAAAAAAGCTTTGTACTTATGATCTCTTTCTTTTGTCCAAAAGAGGTATTAACAGGTGAAATACTTGCATGGCAACTGACTAGTCCATTCCTTTTCGAAATATAAGCAGCAGAAGTAATAGCAATGGAAGGTTTTTGTTGTTTTTAAAACTGTTCAAGCCCGACCAAAGCTTCAATACAATTATAAAGAATGTCCTGCAGGAGCTTTCTACCTCTCAGGTAAATACAATTTACATTTAATTTCTCAAATACATTTTTGATAACAAGCTGATATTACTGATTACACTCCCAATTAATTCTCAATGTATCTATTATTTTATAATAAAACTAGATAATTGGCTAATATTTATTAATCTTAAAATGTCCTTCCTGTGGCAGGGCTGATTATTCATTTATCTTAGAGAAGTTTAAACCCAACAAAATCAGAGCCCAACTCTTACGTTTCACATATTTAGATGGATTTAGATCCTAAATACCACAATACAGCTTATTTCAAAAGCAATGTACTGTTTCTAAGTTTTTTTGTTCCTATTTCTAAATTTTCATTTGATAAGGAAAATAACTTTTTAGTGAAAATACTAATGATAATAAATACTTGCATTTTATAATAATTTTTAGGTTAGTAACTTCACTCTAATAATCTGAAGTGATTCCTAGGTTTATGGTCGCTTAAATGAATGGATTTACTGACTATATTCCTTTCAATGTAAAAGAAACCTATTTGTCATTAAAAAAACATTTAATGCAACAGAGAACTGCTTTTGCAGTCTTGGATCCGTTGTCTTCTGAAATCAGAACATTGCGTTTATACAATAAGTTGGGATACCTATGAAGTAAAAGGAGACAAACAATTGCTCTATATGATTTTAACTACTTTGTAGAGCAGTGTTTTTCAAGCTGGAGTTCCCTGACTGCAACATCAGTATCATCTGGAATTTCTGAGAAATGCAGATTCTCTGGCCTCACCCCAGACCCACTAATCAAAAACTAAGGTAGGCAATCCGCATTTTAACAAGCCCTTCAGGTAATGCACATGAAAGCTTAAAAACCACTACTGTAGAGAATTTATTGCATTAAACTTAATTTACATTTACTAAATGTAAGGCCTCTCCTATTTACAAATACCTTCCTTTATTCCCATATTTGAGGGTACTTCAAAAAGTTCATGAAAAGATCCATATTCTCTTTTAATTCTATTTTTCCACAAATGTTCTAAACTAATCTCATATATTCATATATAAAGAGAGGCAGTCAAAATTTTCTTCAGAAAAGAGGAAGTCACCTTATAACTGAGTCTTTACAAAGTTCCTTAAATTATGGGCACTCTCTTGATTTCTTTATTTCCAACAACAAAGTAGTATTTTGGAAAGACATTTTAGCCTGAAACAAGCTCAATTAATGGTATATATGAATGCTTAAAAAGATCACCTGACAGAATCATAAAAAAGGAAGCAAAATTTTAATATCGGGGCCGGCCCGGTGGCGCACTCGGTAGAGTGCAGTGCTTGGGAGTGCAGCGGCGCTCCCGCCAAGGGTTCGGATCCCATATAGAGACCGGTCCGCTCACTGGTTGAGTGCGGTGCGGGCGCGACACTGAGGGTTGCGATCCCATTGCTGGTCGCGGTACGGGTGCGACACCGAGGGTTGCGATCCCGTTACCGGTCACGAAAAAAGACAAAAAGGAAAAAAAAAAATTTAATATCAATTTAATAAACATTCTGGGGGCAGGACTGAACATCTGTAGGTGTTGGATATTGTGAAAAAGTTTTTTAAAGATGAATGAATTTAAAAAGAAATATGGTAAGTGGTTAAGTTATGGCAATCATATAACCTAGAGATACAATTAAAAAAACTACTGCTCTACTGTATTTAAATGGGAATCTGGCTTGTGATAAAATTTCCAGTCACACATGGATTCAAAAAGTGCTGTTGCACAAACAACTTAGATATAATATTATGGGCTCTGGAAAACTGCTAGATAACTCAAAAAAATGGCTCTCAGGAAGACAAAGTAACTAATGCTAATAAGTCATGAGTCTGAATAAAATTGATTAATGATATGTGAGTAGGAAAATGAGGAATTTATAAATTAAAACATTTCAAGTCATTTTAAAGGTATGTAATAAATTGGAATAAATATCATAAGAAGGGATTTATTTATTTCATGTACATCCCTTATAGCTTACATATTGATATTAACCTGAAATTTTAAAGATTTTTCTTACTGGGAAGGGGGGTACTTCCTTAAATTTGAGGTGACTTCTTTTTCAGGTATATTGTAAATAGCTTCTATTTTCACACTAAAAGATTTAAGTGGCACATTGCTAAGAGAGGAAGAAGGAATGAAGCAGGGGTCATCAAATAAATGTGGGGAAAACTAATTAGGAAAGGAAAAGGCATCTGTTATATTCTGGGATTAGAGAGCAGGGTTTGTAAGGAACGATGCCATGCTGCATGAGCAACCTTGCTGTGGAATGAAATTTATGTGAGGGCTGCCATTTTTAAAAATTAAGATAAGGGCCGACCCCGTGGCTCACTCGGGAGAGTGAGGTGCTGGGAGCGCAACGGCGCTCCTGCTGCAGGTTCGGATCCTATATAGGGATGGCCGGTGTGCTCACTGGCTGAGCGCGGTGCAGGCGACACCAAGCCAAGGGTTGCGATCCCCTTACTGGTCACGAAAAAGGACAAAAAAAAAAAAAAAAAAAAAAAAGGGAAAAAAAAGGGGAGGGGAAAAATTTTTTAAAAAAAAAAAAAGAAAAAAAAAAAAGGAATGAAGTCTTCCAA